AGGTGTTTCAAATGTAACTTCAGCATACATATTGCAAGTGCATGTTGGAAAAACAAAAAAGGTAACAAAGAAATTAAATATTTTAGTTGTGGAAGATTAGGATAAAAATCTGAAAAATTTCTAGAATTAGAAAGAAAAGACGAGACTCAAGACATGTGCTCTCCGTGTGACACATGTAAAAAGTCTAATCATTTGGAAAAAGACTATTATTTTAAAAACATGAAGGAAAGCAAAGGAGATCAAGAAGAAAGTGTGCTTTTTGACAAAGAGGAATGGAACAAAACAATAGATTTTGGACTAAAGGACAATCAGCTGTATGGTGAACAAGTTAGAATATTTTAAGGAATAAGAAGCAATAGGAACAGAAATTGGATTAGCAAAGAGAAACATTTTCATGGAAACTGTAGTTAAAAGGTAGAATTGAGTTAGACAGTTGTATATTTCAAAATGTTTTGTACGTTTCAAATTTGAGACAGAATTTAATATCAATACATCTGATAACTCAAAATGTGGTAAGATAATTCTAAAGGTGGTAAAATAATGTTCTAAACACATAATTTAGTAGTTTATAAGAAGGAAAAAAAATATTAGTAGGCAAGATGTGTATTAATGGACTTTATGGCATGGATGAATCATAAGGAAAAATACAGACTAGAACATTACTAGTAGAGAGGAATAAGAAGCTGGTAGTGATACAGAGAAGAATGTACGATATTTTTTTTATACATAGCAATTGAAGACACCATTAGCAGAGCCAAGAACAAGGGTAAAAAGACAACTAGAAATTATACATTATGATATATGTGTGGGCATATAGAACCAGAGACATGGAACAGAAATAGGTATGCAACGACAGTCTTAGATTTTACTAATTTGGGGTTGATATATTTTATGGAATTATACATTGAAGCATTACAGATGTTGTTTAAGTATGTTGCAGCAGCAGAAGCAAAGTGGAATAAAATACAGGTTTAGATGCGATAATGAAAACAGGAGGGTTTACCAGTTGTGAACTCAAGAATTAGTACAGACAAAAAGTAATTATACTACATTATACGACACTGTATACATCTCAACTGAAAGGAAAGACTCAATCGAAGATTATTGAATAAGATACGAGCACTCCTGTACATCTGGAATGGAAAAGAAATTGTGGGTAGAAGCTGTGTATTTTGCAGCTTAAATACAACTCCATATGGAAAGTAAGTAGGAGAAAGACCTCACATAAATTATGCATTTTTGGGGAAACCGATATTTTTTGTTTGCAGATTCATTTCAAGGAAAGTAAATTCTGCAAGAATTACCTAAGGAATATTACAGATTAGGACTTGTATTGACAATGTAATTAAATAAATGATACAGCATAATCTTTGTACTACTGAAGAATATAGTTCAGTTTGACACTAGAATTACTAAAAGGGTCAGAGGCATAAAATATAGAAGTATATATAGTTACTTTCCTATCTGAATGAAATGTAAACTAACTATTGTCAGAAGCAAATATACATTTACAGTAATAAAAAAAATAAGTATGTATAATTAACTTCCTATCTGAATGAAATGTAAACTAACTATTATCAGAAGCAGAGATATATTTACAATAATTTATGCATTTATAAATTTTTCCTTTGTTAATTAATTATTAATAATTATTGTACAGGGGACATGAATTCATACCAAAAATGCTATTGGTTTTTCATTAATTACTAACTTCTATGCAATTAATTTACAAATTACATACACACATTATAGAAACAATATAAAAGTGCTATTTACTTCTTCGTAACAAAAGTTTTTAACATATATGTGTTTGAAACAACGTTTTAAAATTACAAAAAGCAAATTTTTAACAAATTTTGTGAATTAACATAACATATATATACAAATTATGTATTTCGGAATGCTATCACAAGTTATTAATCGTGCATTCATAGAATTTTTTAAAAATACGTTCAATGAAAATGGTCATATTGCTTATGTATCAAATTTTGTAACAAATTCATATGTATGTATATATATATGAGTATAAAATATATTTTTATAATTAATTTAATACCTTTTAATTTGTTGTTTTAATAACAGACTATTTGCATTATTGTTATTAATAAGAATAAGACAACGTTTGATATTCTACATCGATACTTTGGCAAATGGCTATCTCAAACACAAAGCATCTTCCCGCGAAAACCAGCATAGCTTGTCCAATCGCAGTCCAATTCTAGTACACGCGAATCCAACATGCCGGTAACACGTGGACAAATATTCACGCATGTTGAAGTAAAATTTTCAGTGTCGGAACAATACGTTTCGTAAAGTAGTGCCATCATTGATTAGTGTTTTAATTACTGCAACTGACGAAATAAATATTCAACAACGATAATGCGCAGTATCAGTTATTATCTCGGAACATTGAAGAACTTTTGTAATATCTTCGTGATGTTTACGAAAGGACCACAACAGAAGTTTATCAAATCGAGAGAATTTTACCAAGAGCAGGATAACTAACTATGAACATTTGATCGGTAGTAATATAACACATGTGGAGAAAAGTGAAGTTACATAGTGCAAATCGTCTACCGATTCATGTGCGACATAAATTGGTGTAAGTGCGAATCATATAAGCGAAAAGAATAGTCACGTGTCATCGATTGTAGATTCTAGAACTCGATCGTTCACTATGATATTGGTTAGCATTGCTCGTCACAGGCAGTTTCTTAATAGCTTTCCTATTCTTTCTTCGATTTCGACGGTACATACGTGAAATAAAGTGATACAAGGGCAAGTGTGTATCACATTGTGCTGTGTTCTTACGTGTTACCGTTATCGTATAGATATTGGAAATTTCGATCTTGCATTGCCATATTTCAATATCACTCGTTAGAATAGAATGTTTCTTGATCAGTAGGCCAATTTCTTTCCGATTTGGACCGTTCATTTGCGACGTAGAGTGACAGAAGTATGAGTGTGTGTAAAATCGAATTACCGCGTTACCTTTCCTAGCTTAGATATATGAAACTCCTGCTCGGCATTAGAATATTTTGTTATAACCTATCACAGTAGACTCTTCTTTAATCAACAGACCTACCTTTGTTCGATCTTCGCAGTTTTCTTTCTAAATACAGGGCCGAAAGTGGAAGAGTGTGGCAAGTCGTACTGCGTCGTTGTCTTTCGTGGCTTAGATTACTCAAAATCCGATTTTTGATTTGGCTTTTTCTACATCACTCGATAGATCAGTCTCTTCTCTAATAGAATCACTGGTTTTTCTTTGATTTTCGCCGTTTTTTTTCTAAATACAGTGCCGAAAGCGGACGCGTGTAACAGGTCGTAGTGCGACCTTATCTCTCGTGGCTGAGCTCTTTGAAATTTCGAATTTTGATTTTAATTTTTCATTATCACTGGACAGAACGGGCTTTTCTCGGATAGAATCGGTGGTTTTCATTTGATTTTCGTCGTTTTTTTTCTCCAAATACAGTGCCGAAAGTGGAAGTTTGTGACGGTTCGTGCTGCGTCGTTATTTTTCGTGTCTTAGAGTCCTAAACTTCGTCTTTTGATTAGGCTTTTTTTACTATCACTCAATAGAACAGATCGTTCCCTAATTAGTTGGCCTATTTTTACCCGGAAATTAGAAAAAGGTTACAGAAAAACGTGGGAAACGTCGTTATGTCCATGGAGGTGTGTCTGCATCATGTTAAAGAATGTAAGTCTCTGTTTTAACATAACCTACTATGATTTGATTTCAGCCAAGATATAGCAGTGCAACGGACTTGTGGAGAGGAAGAACAAATCCACCATAGAGATGACAACGGCACTTATGATGGATTCAGACTTCAGACTTCAGGTGAGTAATGTAAGGTGGAAGGTGTCTGGGTTTAGCATGTTCTGAGCAAAAAAATAAATCAATGGGTTATGGTCCGTCAACAGAATGTAAGCCACATGTTTGAGTGCGGTAAACAAAATTCATTAAAGTGACCTTCATGCCATATTCTCAATGTTTGTATGAAAGTATGATGAAGGAACCAAGAAATATAGAAAAGTACAAACAGGATTGGTTAACAAACAATGTGTAAGTAGAAAATCTGAGAGTTTCAAGCAGAGGGGACGAATTCCTTTATTAACCTTATGTGAAGTCATGAAGTATGGGTAACATTCAGCAATGTCTATGAGAAGCATAAAAACAGCAAGGATATTCTGTTGTAGAGAAATTTTTCATGTATAAATATAAATTTAAACGTGATATTGTAACCCACATTACGTATCAGACAGGTAAATTTTCAAATTACATACATTAGGAATTAAGATAGAAAAAACGATGATTATAACTAAAATCTTATGTATGTTTCTAGATTGTCTATTTGCAAATGCCTGGGTGTTAACACAGAAAGAAGAAAAGGAAATAGATAATCTCAAAACTGAACTGATTGCCAAGGAAGCAAGGGGAAAAGCAGATCTCTAGTCTTCAAACCTCAAGAGAAGTGGTGTTTCAAGTGCAATTCCACTAGACATTTTACAAGTACATATTGGACAAACAAATAAGGTAACAAAGAAATTAAATATTTCAGTTTTGAAAGATTAGGATAAAAATCAGATAAATTTCTAGGATTAGGGAGAAAAGACGGAACTTAAGAAGTGTGTTACACTCTGTGTGTTACATGTCAGAAGTCTAATTATTTGGAAAAATCATTTAAATTGTTATTGTAAAAGCAGGAAGGAAAGAAAGGAAGATCGAGATAAAAAAAGGAAAGTGTGCTTCTTGATAAAGAACGATGAAACAGAATAATGGGTTTTGGAATCGAGAACAATAATCCATATGGTTAATAAACGGGAATATTTAAAAAATAGGAAGAAATAAGGATGGAAATTGGAATAGTGTAAAGAAATATTTCCACAGAAGCTAAAGCGAAAGTTAGAATAGTGCCAGATACTTGAATATTGTTTATGTTCTACACTTGAGACAGAATTTATTGTCAATAAATCTGATAACTGGAGATGGTGGTGAAATAATGTTCAAGGAAAATGAAGTAATAGTTCATAAGAACAAAGAAGAAATATTCGTAGGGAAGATGTATTATAATGGACTTTATACTAGTAGAGAGGAACAAGAAGCTGATAGAGTGGCACAAAAAATTGAGGGATCTATGTATAGAGAACATGAAGGAGTTGTCCATGGAAGTATTAGAAATAAAATTAATCAAAAGAGTACTGAAGACAGGAATTAGAGAATGTAGGATATTTTTGTGAAACAAAGGTATCGAAGATTCCATTTGAGGGGACAAGAACGAGGTTGAAAAGCCAGTTAGAGACAAAACATTCTGATTTATGTGAGCTTATATAGTCAGAGACATGGAACAGAAATGGATATGTGAAGAAAGTCATAGATTTTACTAATTTTGTGAGGATTTACCTTATTGAATTAAATACTAAAGCATTACAGAGATTGTTCAATTATGTTGCAGCAGCAGAAGCAAAGTGGAATAGCATACAGATTTAAATGCAATAACGGAAAAAAAGTTTACCAGCCGAGAATTCAAGAATTGGTGTAGACAGAAAGTAATTATACTGGATTATACGATACTGTATACACCTCAACTGAATGGAAAGGCTTAATCGAATATTACTGAATAAAACACGAGCACTCCTGTACGACTGAAATAGAAAGGAAATTGTGGATGGAAGCTGTGTATTTTGCAACTTATCTACAAAATAAAAGTTCTGCAACAGCAATGAATGCAACTGCATATAGAAAGTGAGTAGGAGAAAGATCTGACATATGAATTACACATGACATATGAGAAACTAATATTCTTTGACATCTGAGAGTAATAAAGCAATTTTGTTTGCAGATTCGTTTCAAGGAAAGAAATCTCTGCAAGAATTACACAATGAATATTACAGATTAAGTTTTGTTTTGTACAGTATAGTTAAATAAATGATACAGCATAATCTTTGTACCAAGAGTTTAATTCATTTTAATATGGGAATTACCAAAGTGGTCTCATGCATAAAATACTGCAAATTTACAGTTCTATAAAAAGTATAAAAGTAAAAAAATTTACTATTGATTTTATTGAGATAGGAAGAAAATTATACATATTTCCTTTGTGTATTTGATGCCTTTGGTAATTCTGGATAAATTAATTCCTTTTTAATTAATTAATTTGTAATAATTATTGCACAGAGGATGTGATGCAACTATAAAAATTCATGAATTAATTACTGAAACTCAGGATTTGTTAATTTTCCACTGTCGAATTAATTTATTGGCGTAATAATCGATTCAAATTCACGCGCCTACAAGACCACTTTTATATTTTTCGATATAAATTTGTCCCTAATTAATTAATTATTAATAATTGTTCTGCGGAGTGTTTGAATTGTTGTCGAAGATTGTCGAAGACGCCATTGGTTTTTCATTAATTACTATCCTTTACGCGATCAATTTATGAAACTTTATGCACTCATTATAAAGACAATGTTCTTGCGAATCTTCTCATATCACTTTTGTTCACATTTTGATTCTAGTTTCGGGGAGTATTAAATATTTTCACGGAAGATCGTGATGGTCGTCGTTACGAAATCATAGACGCCATAAAACAAAAATTAATAACTAACAATTTAGAGTTCAATTCTTTACGAATATTATATAAGAATGTTGCTTGAAGTTCCAGCTTTGTAATGAAATTATAGAAGTTCACAAATTGCTTACGGAAATTGAATAATTATTAATTTTTTACTGCCGGAGCCATTCTATCCTTTTCTATCCCCTCTCTGTCCTTGTCTACCACGTGACCAGCACTTCGACGACCTCCTTGCCTATTCTTTATTCCTATTACTTTCTTGATTTTTGAGCCCAAATCATAGATGGCGCTGATCGCAGGCGGTAAAATTTTTATTTATTCGGAAGTAGAAAATTAATGAATTTCCAAGTTTCTGTAATTAATTCATGAATATTTATAGCTACACAGCAAAGTTGGAATTATAGGCAACATTCTTATACAATGTTTAAATTTAATAATTAGTTACGGGTAGATAGGATTGCTATAAAAAAGTGGTTCTCTTGCATAATATTCTTATTAAGTAATAAATATATACTGGCCTAAGAAAGGGTAAAAAATAAATTTTTTGATTAAGAAATTTTATTTACTATTGTTTATTCACAATGTTTTTATACACGAAAAATTAATACAACATAAGAAATAGATTGAAAAAAACTATGAGCAATGGAACAGGAATCGAACCCTGATCATCCACCATAGGAATTCTCGACTATCGCCGTTAGGCCACAATTTCACTTGGTTAATATTGGAAAGAAATCTCTAATTAAGGTGGTAATAAAACTTTAATCGTAAATATCTCAAAAATTATTGAGTAGTTGCGGCTATAATGATATATTTTCTTAAACTGCATGACCATATCTACAAACCTGCAAAGTTTCAACTAAATCGAAGGACTTGCACTCTCCTTGTCAGCGAAAGAGGCTACGGTCACGCGAAGACAGGGCGACGGAGGGGGGGATACGCCCTATAAAACAGCGAGGGATGCGTTTTTGGGGCATTATCCGACCAGAGTACGAAGAGAATAAAAGAAGTTACCCAGAAGCAAAGAGCTTAGTTTTACTAAAAGACGGCTCTTAAGACTTGGCTGACAATAGGCCTGAGGGCTCCACGTGTCCGCACACGTTGGAAGCCTCAGGCCCTCGCTAGGGGTAATAAACGACCGATGGCGTCACCAGCGCGCGGGTGGACCCCAGGTACCCCACCTTGGAGCAGAGGGTTTTCTCCACTATCGTTGCTTTTTGGGGAACCTTCCCTTTCTCCAAGGTCACCGATTTGCGAACCAAGGGAATGCCCTTGGTCAAAAACAGCCAATTATATTTGGCGAGCTTCCGATTTTTCCTAAGGCCGATCTTAGGAAGAACGAGGAGCTCAGTTCCGTACGAGATCCGAGAGACACGGGTTCTCTCAAAGACACTTCCTCTCGAAACATCGAACACACCGGTTCCTTCTAAACTTCTTCCTTTCGACACGCCAGAGACGACGGTTCTCTTCTAACACGAGACGATTTTCGTATCTCCTCGTTAAGTCGATGAAGTACCGTGTCGCGTCGAAACGTTCATCCACATCGGGGTATCTTCGCGCCTTACAACCGCGAAGACGAATTATTTCGGGCGGAACCCACGCGACCAGGAAGATCAAGGGAACGACGCGATACCCCCTTGATACCTCCAACATTATCCGTTTACACTATTTTTAGTAATCTTTATGTTTCTTTCTTCTTCTTTAATTAAATATATTTATACGTATCGCTGTATAAACAGTGATTTTTATAATTCTATTTATAGTATCCTTATGGTAATTTTAAATATAAATAATAGTTTTATTTATAGTATGCCTAGTACTTTTATAATTTTATGGTTATATAACACTATAGGTAATTTAGCGTTTTCACAATTTTATCAATTAATTTATTCTTGTCAGTAAAATATTTATATTTTTGACTTTAAGTATTCGAAATTTCAAATGATATGAAAATAATTAAAGACACGTGGGTGCGGAATGAAGTCTATATTGGCTGCGTCGCTGGCGAGAGCTCGTGTTCGACTGGCGCTTCAAAACCCATGCCGAAAACGCGGCGTGTCGTCAGCGACGATTTTGGCTGGAGACAATGTCTCCGTCGATACAATGTATGTTTGACAGCCAGGGCACCGCGTGCCGTCGGACCGCCAAAGGGTGTCTTCGCGCAACATTGTATATTGGCGCGCTTGTGCGCGGGCCGCCACATCAGCCCCCTTGGTGAAGATAAGGGTACGCTCGTACATAGTCTATCTTCTTAATTCTAATTATCGCTAAATCTCTGACAAAAACTATGGTAATTTACGTGACTACGACTTATAATTAGCTTACAATCTATTGGCGGCTAAATACCAAGGATCGTCCCGAACACCCGAGCTCACGCTATCTGCCCGCGACATAGCGGTCAGGGAAACGAACGCGCCTGCCCGCCTTTGTCGTACGTGTCACGGAAAGTGATTTGAAACGAAAAGAAAAAAGTGGCCGGCTTTAACGAATTTAAAGTCCCGCATAGAATATGCCAAATTTGCACCTTTCGCTGTTCACTGTTAAAAATTAAGGAATGAGGACTGCCGCTGCGGAATTGAACAGAATAAAGGAATGTCTAATTAAAATTTTTTATTTTCATTGCACAGTTAACCACAAATCTTAATGCTATTCAGGTACATAAATTTACAAACATAAAAGTCAGCTAAATTTAATTCTGACAAAATGATCAAATATCATCAACTGCTGCTAATATCGGCTGGTGATAGCTGAAATACGATACGAAATTAACGCAGGGTAAATTTTCTATGTTGCGAGTAAATACAGCATCCAGAGTTGTACCTTCTCGTGTAGTAGGAATCGAGGGATCACTTTTCAATTTCAAATTGAAGCTTTCGTTCATGAAATTAACGAAAGCTTTTCCTTTAGGCGTTTGTAGATCGAGATTTAAATCGCCAGACATGATAATCGGTATGTTCCGGTACCCTCTTCTTTGCAACGATTCCACAACATCAACAACTTTTGGACTGTACCAGAGTACCTCTCTTTATTTCCGGTTAACAAATTACAAAGTTATAATTAGATTACGCGCAGAATAGACGGGCAGAACGAGGTGATGATGATTTCCAGACACCCTTGTCCTGCCGAAGACGGTATCTTTATATTGGGCTAGTGCCCCCACTCTAGTAGGACCTTTGACTTAGGGCAAAGTCCTTATCTTCGGGACTGTTTGTTATTTGACTAGTTCTAGGTTGTCACCACTAGACGCGTGACCCATGATTCAGCTTCTGTACGTTTGTCTTTCCGATGTTCCCATGCGGCTGTTTTTGGTTACTGTTGATTCTGAGTGTTATCGGAAATTTGATCGGTGTCACACTTTTATTTAGATCTTGCACTCTGTCTTCTTTTATACTCATGTTCTCTTTCTCAATCAGTGGATCACGAATTCTAAACACTCAGACGCATTCATAAACTTCCACTCGTTTGTCGCATTCGGCTCCGTCATAAACATCCCTTACATTCGATCCTCTTGCACGCGGTCAGTTTCGTTCTAAGCCCAAACACTCTTGACATTCTTTCAGGGCCATACTTATTCCTTTCCTACACATGTTCAAAGTGTATACAAAGTATTGTATAGAAAAG